TCCTGGACGGGGCCGCCTCCGTGGGCTCCAGGCTGTCGAGCAGCTCCCCCTCGTCCTCGTCGTCCAGGAAGTCTGCGGGAAACGCGGGTCAGAAGCTCCCTGCGCAGGTGGGTAAGGGCTGGGGGCGCTGCGGACACTCACCGTCCGGGTTGAGAAAGAGGAAGGCTCGGCGCTGCACCTCCTCTTCTTCATCCTCGTCCCCCTCCTCCTTGTCCATCTTCATGTACTTATAGAACCCAAACCTGGGGCGGGGCGGAAGCATCAGAGCCGAGTCCCGCCCTGCCCGCCCCGCCCCGCATTTTCCAGCCGGGCTGCGAGCCCACCTCTCCAGGTACAGCGGAGACTCGCGGTAGAAGCACTTGTTGTCCGTCTCCATGTGGGTGAGGCGGGTGTAGTCGTTGGGATAAACGAAGGACAGGTACACCTGGGGGCGGGGAGTAGGAGGGCTCAGGGCTCAGGGCGGGGACCTCCCGGGGCGGCCTCCCAAGGGGCTGGAGAAGGCTCCGCGGAGTCCCGGACGGGAGACCAGGTCTCCACCCGCACTCACAAATTGCAGTCCCTGGTATCTGGCGATGGGGAAGTCCTTGACCACGTAGGTGGGGGCGTAGGCACAGGGCTCCAGCACGTTCTCCAGGCTCGAAGATTCCATGCGCGGAGCTGCAGGAGGTGCGGTCATGGGGCGGCTGGGGCAGGCACCCCCGCCCTCGCCCCCGCGCGGGCCCCCTCTCACTGAGGAAAAAGGTATCCCTGGGATCTGGCCGCAGCATGTCTGCGCTGGTGTCCTCCTGCGGCAGACGCCCCCCCACGTGGCTGGCTGGAGACTGGGGGACGTGGGCCACGTGGTCCATCTTCAGGGCTGACTCATCTGGGGGAAGAGGGGTTCCAGAGTGTGCTCAGACTCCTCCATTCCTCCCGCTCCCACCCAGAGCCCATCCCAAGGAGCCCCACATCCCCAGCGGCGCCCGCGCACCTGTGTACAGGGAGATGTGAGCAGAGCTGATGACCTCGAACTTCAGGCCGGGCAGGAAAGCTCGCCACTGCGGGGCAGAGAGGGTGGGCGTCAGGGGCAGGGCCGTGGCTGGGTCCAGGGAAGAAAGGGTCTACCCCGGCTCAGGGCCTTAAAGGATGCAGGAGGGGAGATGGTAGAGGGGTCCGGGGGTTCCAACAAGGGGCAGCAGGGAAGCTGGGGAAGGAAGCCCAGAAAGCTGAGGGGCCCTGGGAGCAGGGCCAGACCTCCCCATACTCCCTTCCTCACCTTTCCTACCTGAGGCCCCCCTCCTTTCATCCCTCCCTCCCTCCCTCCCT